TGTAGTGTAGATGTTTCTGCTTTGAAAAGGTAAAAAATCCACATGTGTTTCTGGGTGGAGTCCACCTTTCCCTGTCGTTTAATTGGTTTGTGATGCAGATGGACTCTGGTGCCAGTGGAGATGGAGCTGAAGCTGAGCTGCATTTCCACCAGCACAACCAGATGGGACATTGTTTTTTTTCCTGGATGTATTGAATCTAAATCCAGCAAACAAATAAGCAGGAAGCCTCTCTGCTCAAACAAGTGGTCTCATTAATCTTCCTGGACCATTTGTGTGAATTTTGCACCCGAGGATTTCCACAGCTTGGCCCTGAAAGGCTCAGGTCCCACCTTTCTCCCTGGAGAGAAGGTGCTGCTATTCGGAGCGACGCCTTTGAAGAGGTGGTGGTAAAAGCCTGGCAATGTAAGGGATTTGTGGCCAGGGAGAAGTGTGCAATTTAATCATGATTGTCTGCACTCTTTAGTTTGCGGTGCATTTACTATAGTTCATATTTAAAAGAAGCCAAAGTGAAACTAATTATCTTTAATTAAGGTGAATTAGGCTTTGATTTTTAATATATTTTATGTAGAGAGAGCTCGAACTCATCTGCTCAAGCCAAGGAATGTCCCAAAGGTTATTAGGGCATATTTCTGTTGGGCCTGATGGTATTAGTAATAACCTTCCTCCTCGTAGCCCCAGACATGAACAAATATGTCACTTCATCAGTCTCTGTTACCCACGCTGATGCCCCTCCGCAGGGGTCGCAGATTCCACAAGTTATCAGCTAATGGCGTTATACATTAAAAATTGAAGCTTTCCTCACTCTGAGGCCTTTCAAGGCTTTGTTCTTAAGCCCCAGACACTTTGGAGTGCAGCTGCAAACTATAGGCAGAAGATTAAATTAATTTGTAACTCTTTTTTCGGCCTGCATTACTAAATCCTGCACATTTAATTGAAACCCTACTTCAAGATGCTTTGTGTTTCTGTTCTTCTTTGTTGTCAGTTTAACCTCAGAAGCACTTTAATGCTGGTAAATTGCTGTTATATCCTCTTGGATTCTTTTTTTTTTTTTAACTCTGCAATAAGAGGACAGTGAAATTGATATTAGAAGGGAAGAAAAATCTTAGAGTAGTTTTTGAGGTATTTAATATTTATTAAGGCCCATACCCTGCAGAGTTTCAGGTGATTTTAAGCCATCTATCTAGGAATGTATAAATTGGTCTTGGAATGAAATTTCACCTAGGGAATTTTATGTTATCCAGTAGTTAAGTCTGATTTTTAAAGTTTCCTGTGTCTGAATGTTCCAAAGTGGCGGCTGCTTTTCCATAAAATGAGGGTTTAACTGCAGTGCACAATCTAAATGCAAAATCCTTAGATGGAAATTTAATTGTGTAAAATGTGCACGAGGTAATTAAGAACAAATTTTAGAACATTTCAGACTATAAAGTCCTCCTTCAGCTAGATCGCTAGCGATATTCTAAGTGCTTATTTTCAATTTGCAGTTATGCTGAGAAACATGGAATGTGTCTAAATTAAGAATAAAAACATCCCGTGCTTTTCAGCATAACTGTAAATTAAAAAACAACTTGCACACCATAGACAATAATCTAAGTGGGAGACTTTATTGCCCGAGTGTCCTAAAAAATATGTTTTGAACTTCCTTCCCTCTGCTGTTTTTGGAAGAGGGCACACGCCACGTTGCTGTTGTGATTCTTATTAACAGTATACAGGCAGGCAAGGAAAGAAGGTTGTAGAGAAAGTAGTTTGCTAGTGAGTATCTCTAGGTTTCCATTTTCAGCTCCAAAATTGTTAATTACATTATTTCAACAAGTCGTTTTAATTTTGTGTTCACTTCTCTGCGCATTAGATGTACTTGAGAAGAGCTTGGAGTTGCTTACCAGAGCTGCCAGCCTCGTGTTCTTTTTGCTTTCCCCAACCTGTTTTTAGATCTAGTTTGGTAAAACTCAGCTTGCAGACACCCCACACCTCTGCCTGTTATTTAATAACCTGGGACGAGTTCTCAGGTTAAGCCCTGGGTTAAAATCTGACGTCCCCAGGTCTGAGGGAAGGCTCCTGTCAGGTACTTGCACATCATTTTTCAGGACACAACCTCACTGAACACCAGAAGATGAGTGGTTCAAGTGATGGGCTGCATTTGTGTCCTGCATTTGTTTGTATGACTTCCTTCAAACAGATGATTGAGAGTGTGAAAATCCCTTTAGTGAAGCTCTAATCTTTTTGGGTTTTTTGTTTGTTTGTTTTGGGGGTTTTTTTGTTTCTTTACTTTAAGTGTGGCACTGTTTATAAATCTAAATCTACATACAGAGGTCATTGGTTGGCTGAACTTAAACAATTTTACTTAGTAAATTTAATTAAGAAAATACAGTGCAACTCATAAGCAAATGAGTTTTTCCTAGTTTTAAACCAAACCACCCTCTTGAGTGCTGATTGCCTTGCTCGACCCCTGGTGATATAGAAACAGGCAAAATTAAAAAGGACATTAAAGCTTCATTAAATCTGAAACACATTTAGTACAGTGACATATCTGCAGGCTATTTCAGGGAAGATTACATACTCTTTGGTAAGTTTCTTAATTTATAATACCTTGACAATCTTGCAGGGAGGAAACAACTCTGAGCAGACGAATCGAGTGGTGGTTCAGGGGGATGCAGAGCTGGCACAAGGTCTGTCCATGGCTGTATTGCTTCGTGGGTCTCAGGCAAGGAGCAGCTTCACTGAGAAGTGAGGGGTTTTCTTAACACCCAAAGAAATCATTCCTGATGCCTTTCAGATTCTTCCAAGCTCATTTATACAACCTGTACTTAAGTCTGGCAGAAGCCTGCTCTTCCCTCACTTATTCTACTGCCCTTGGAGCCCCTGCTGAGGTGTGTGGTGGTCAGGGAGAGGAGTCACCAGTGAGAATGGAAATGCTTAGAAATCATCTTTGAGGCAGTGGTCGTTTTTCTGCTTAAATAAGATCTGTAGATTTATGTAGATGATGCCCTGTGCATATAGCCATCATCATCTTCTTGATCTACAGTGGGATAACTGTTACGTTCCTACAAGTGTGTAGCTGTTGTAATGACTACTCTTAAGTCAGCAGTCATGGAAGAAATCAAGATTTCCTCTCCTTTTGTTCATGGAAAAGTGTTTGGCATTTAGAGGTTTATTTCTAGGCATTTTTAGGCTATCACAGCAGCAGCACTTCTTAGGATCTCCAACAGCTTCTTGGAAGGTAAGGAGGATCTTCCCTAAAGAAGAGAAGATAAAAAAAGGACATGTTTTAGTAGCTCCTGGTCCTTCAAACTGAGCATAACAGAAAACTTTTAGGGTCTTTGTTGAACTCTACAGCAGTGTGGTTGAAAGCCTGCCACCAGAGAGTGACTGGAGTGACACTGAGCTGAGAGAGGCTCTGGACCAGAGGCAAGTGGTAGAAAGGATGGTGATCAGGCTGTTTATCTCAGGCTGGTTTGTTACAAGGATGGATTTGCTGCACAGAGAAGCCCCATGCTCAGCACTGCACCAGAACATAAAACCAAAAGGCAGAAGTCACCCCAAAGAAGCCCACCTCTCTTACACAAATGCTTCAAGACCTACTCTGCTTTTGTAATGTCTTTCTTCTGAGGATCTGGAGGAAGTTTACTCTCTTTGCTAAGTCTTGCAGCCAGATGACTAGTGTGGCACCAGGCTTGGACAGCAGCTGGAATTGCAGAAAGGGCACCATCTCTGCTGTTTTGTGGTTGCTTCTGCTCATGCTGTCAGCTGCTTCTTATTACCTTCTCCCAACCTTTTTCCTGAACTGGTGAGGATCGAGTATGTCTACTGGTCCTTGCACCAGCAGTTCCCCACCTTGCTACAGCTCTGTCTCTGCATTGTTCATACTTGGGATAGTTTCGTGCTGCCAGCCAGGCTGAAATTTCATCATGGGAGCTCAAATATCAGCAGCAGGTGCTGTGAAAGAGCTTTTGCCCAGCATTGACATGTAGTTCAGCTCTTGCAGGACATGACACAATGGCTTAGACCTTCAGCACTGATGCTGTTACTTAGTCTGGTGGGAATATATGGAGTTTATCCTGTGGGCACATCAATGATAGTGCATCCATAACCTTTTTGATAGATGTCCTGTAGATTGGTATGGGGAGGATTCATGAAGATTAACTAAACTTTATCTGACTGTGGCTCCAGGTCAGAACAGAGCTGCTCTGAATGCCCTTTTGGAGGTAAAAAAAAAAACCCAACACTGGTCCTTCAATGAATAGTAGACAAAAAATCTTAAACTATGCATTTTGCTGGAATTGTCTCCAAGGTTCAGATACCCAATGTGGAAACCTAAAGTCTTGTATGAAGAGTGTATCATGGAATATTTATTTGCTAATGGCATTATGGCAACAGGAGGGTTGTTGTTGGGTCTACTACGGATCCTAGCAGATACTCCAGTAACATACTGAGTTAGAAAACAGTGTGGGCAACAAATCCAGTTGATACTGTGTGCAGCTGAAAGTGGATCTGAAGGAAAGATGAAGTGTCTTTTTGTGGGTGCTGTGATCTCTCCAGATCCCTCTCACAGGTTCCTGGCTGGGTTTGACACCGATAAGGAGGCAAACCTCAGCTGTATAACCCAGATTTTCCTCTGAGCCAGTTAGGGAAGGACTTTGGGAGTTGAGTGTATGCTCTACAATACCTGTGCAGATAATTATCAGTAAGGGTCAGTGTCGTTGGCCTCACTATTGAGGCTGAACTGGTTTAATTAGAGTCCTCAGGAACTTGGGCATCGAATGGTATTATGGGGTGGTACAGACAAAAGGGCTTGAGAAATCCAGCAACATTCAGAAAGGTAGAACAAGGGGTAATTGTGGTGAACAACTCCCTTCTAAATACAGCTCTTTGTGTGTTTTCAGAATGACTTTTGCTGACATTTTCCAATTTATACAATAGTAAGAGTTGAGTACTTTTCTCTCTTTAAGAAAATGTGCCCTCCATGCAAATCTATATAACTAGACAAATATTATTTCCTTTCCCAGCTTGCTCTTGGGAGGTTTCCATATCCTCAGGTAAGATTGTTCATTACTGCTGTTTGCCACTGTGACATTCATTCCTATGTATGAAGGTGCAGAGAGCAATTGTGAACATTTGAGCCACATACAAATAAATCTGTCCTGTTAAATTGAAAAGCAGTATCTTGAAGGAGTCATTTAGAAGTCTCTATTGATTTTTTTTCCCCCCTCTTTTTCTCTTCTCCAAACTCAAGATTTTCTTTCCCTCCAGACAGTGAAAATTATGGTGATGCTAATGATTGTTTTGTTGTGAAGATTAAAATTAATCTGGTTTTTGTAGTGGTGCTTTGGAAGCAGGAAGGTGTATTTACTCCTTTTTTATATTTTAATTTTTAATTTTGATTTTGAATAATGGCACAATGGTCTAAAACCTTCTCAAATGTGAATAGGATCCTTAAGGGAGCTCTGGTTTCTCCCTTTTAAGAGGGCCTAATATTAGTATTTTTATTTAGATACAGGCATTTTCTAACTTTCCACTGACTTGATTCAGTTTCGTTGAAGTTGGTGGTAAAACTGCTTCCATCTCTGGTGGCCAGTGCTGAGCTGTCCATCTCCAGGTAACGTTTTACTCTGTATGCTTGAAAAAACAGGAAGCTCTGAGTAAAACAATCCAGAAATAGGTTTGATGATTTCTTTAAATTCTTCCTGCAAGATGAATGGTAGAATTCATAGTAACAAACTATTCTGTAGTTGCTCAAATTATTCTTTCCTTGGAGAGGGGAAAAAGTGAAGTGTCCAGGGACTAAAATGAATTATTTGAAGGTGGGTTTTATGTGTTGGTGTGTTTTATGAACAGCGTTTTCTGCATCTTGGTCTGTACAGATCAGAGTGCCTGGAGGCATGTCTGATTTAAAGGTGGTGTTGGTCTGTGCTCTTTAAGCATCTATTAACTTGCTATTATTATGCAAATAACTGTTGTAATACACATACTAATTTATGCATGGTTAGATTATGCAGATGCCTCACAAACATGGTTATTGAATAATAGGCTGGGACTCATTCTCTCTCCCATTTTTATAAGCTGTTTTAAGCAAATTCTCCTGACACTTTTATGGACTTGCAACGTTTTGCATATGTAGAAACACCCTGATTTTTCACTTTCTCACCTCCTGTGGAAAATGTTTACCCACCGAGAGAGCTGTAGCTGAACATACTTTGCATATTTTATCCATATTTTAAATTGCACCCTCTCCTTTGAAGAGAGGATTGAAAAGGAAGCTCTTGTGTTGAAGTGTCCTCCGTACGTTGACGTGTTCACTTGTGCTCGTGGAGGGTCTTGATGTTCACTGTGTTATAACACTAAATCAAAGTGACATGGGATACAATTTAAGATAAGCTTAAGATGAGTGTTGGAGCTTGGGGAAAGAAGTTATGTATGATTCTAGCCCAAAATTTGTTTTCTGGATTGGGAGCAAAACATGATTGCTGGTTTAAGATCCTTTTTGCTATTCTAATTAAAAAAGTGGATTGGGTTTGTAAAAGAATATTTGGCAAGTCAGTAGTCCATGAAATTGTATATATTTTTTAATGTAAAACAGTTGAGGAGGTGAAACTTTAAAATGTAGCTATTAAGCTTTTCAAGCAACTGCTTTTCATAAAGGATTTTTATGTGAAGAATATGTATTTTAGACATGGACTTAGGTAGCTGGTCACCAGAACAGTTAGAAACCCCACACTGATTAGAGGGATAATTAGTAGGGTTTTTTTTTAATGTCTAAATATCTACTTATCTCCCTGTGTAAGGGCCTGATCCTGCAGTCACTCACTGGAGTAAATCCTCCTCACTTCAGTGGGCTTATTCAAATGAAGCTAATCAGATGTGTGTTTGCAGAATTTGTCCCTAAATTACTTGAAGTTACTTCTCTCTAAAAATGGAAAGTATGGATATGTGTTTGAGAACACCTGAAATCTCCTGCAAATGAGTGTTTGTCTCCAACAGGAGCTGGAAAAAAATATATTTTTGTCCTTTTTCTCTTATTTTAAGACACAGACAAATGGTGTGTGTAAATCCAGTTTAAATGAACAAGATTTATAGGGTGAATCATTGCAGTGTGGAAATTCAGGACTCCTGCAATATGCCAGTAAGACTGAAGGATGATTTTTAATTTTTTGGTGGCCTTTAATCGAATATTTTAGTGACAGAGCTTACCACTTCTCATTTCCCACATCTCAGATAAGTATTTATTTTGCTAACACTTACTCCTCACGCTATCATTATTTAACCTTATGTTCACAATAAAGTCTTATCTTGAAAGCACTTAAGCATGTGAGCAACTACTCCTGCAAGTGAAGTTGCTCATGGGTGTGTTTAGAGTTACTGTGAATTATTTTTTGTTGGTCAGGATATGCAGCTAACTTCATAAACTGTAGCTCACTGCCAGAGGGATATAACAAACAGCAGTGATCAGAAGAGACTTTCCCACTAAAAAAAAACTTTCCTCAGGAAACCCTAATTCTTAAAAATCCTTGCAAAAAGTTCCTTCCTACATCAATATTTAAAAACAAAAGGAAAACTTGTTCACCAATCCCAGCTGCTAGTCCAGCTTTTTAGCTACCTGAAGGCAGCACATAAGGAAAAATAAGTTTAAAATTTCTTTTTAAAGTTTAACCTTAATTTATGTGATTTGGATTTTGTGTCTGTGCAGAAAGAAGTGGAAGAAAAAAAAAACAAGCACAAAGAACCCCAAAAGGCCATGGCACCTCTTAGTACATTTAATTCATTTTGAAGTTGGCACCCCAAAGATGTGCAGTGGCTGAACAAACTCAGACGTACAGTTAATCCCAGAGATTCAAACGTTCTCTAAAAACACAACGGGGGCAATGACTTGTTTAATGATGATGCAATTTAGCAGAAATGAAAAGAATTGCCCACTAAATATTCTCAGCTTGTAGTCAAACTTTATACAAAGCAGGATGGTAAAAGGATGCTGCATCCATTGGGGAAATATTCCAAAGAAACGGGGAGTACTCAGCTGCCGAGGGTTTAATCAGCTCTAGGAAAGTGCAGATCACAACCACTATATTTCAGGTACTTTTGCATTTAGAGAAATATTTCCCCTCCTTTCACTACAATTCCAAGCCTGGCTTGATAAATTACATGAAAATTACCTAAAGTTTCCAAAAAATCCACCTAAAAATCCCATCCCCTGCTCCTCACCCTCCCATCCCACTGCTCTCCCCCCTCCCCAAATCTGAGCAAATAGTGCCCCTGGTATTGTAAAGCTTTGAATGTTTTCACACCCCATTAATTTATTACTTCTCTTTCTTCATCTTTAAATTTTTTTTTTTCCCCCGTGCTTTTTTTTTTTTTTTTTTTTGGTGCTTTTTTTTTTCAGATTCAGCCTCCCCGCTGCTACAGCGATTTTCATCTTGTTGTTAATTTTCCCTGCTCCATATGGAGCTCCAGACATTTCACCTGGAGGCTGTACTAGATTTTGCTGTAGCGATCGCACTTCCGGAGGCCAAAACTGTCATTTAAGGTTCCCGGTGCATCTGTCTACGCCAGGCTTTGTGCACTGGCAGCGGGGAGGGTGTGAGGAACGGCTCGGATGCACCTGAGATTGGGGTGATTAGTGTGGTGGGTGACTGGTGAGCAGCTCGCTGGAGGGCTGGGAGGACTGAGCAGCTACCCCGGGCTGACACCTTCCGCCCCGGCCGCGCCGACAGCCCGAACGCGCGGAGGAAGGAATATTTCATCCTGCCTTGTCATTGATTAGAAAAGAGCCTTTAATTTCATTTCACCCCATGTTGTGATTAATTTGCATTCTTTGTCAGAAGTTAATGGAGTTTTTTATGGTTCGCTCTGAAATCCTTGAAGACATCAGAGTTGATCTGATGTTTATACAACCGCCAGCGGAATTTTTTCGTTTGATTGATGGAGAGCTTGATGTTATTCCAAACGGCTTTTTAAGCTGTTTTTAAGAATTATTTGAATGAAATGCAAGCAAGATATTGTTATAACGATCAAGATTATCTGTTAAAAATCTGTTTCAAATAAAGAACATGATAAGTAGGAAAAAAAAAAGATCAAAAAGACAGGAGAAATGATGAACACAGACGATGAGATTTGTTAAAATAGATAATGCGAGGATTCAAGTTATTTCAAAATGTAGTGGAAGTAAGAGACACCTTAATTTAAGGCTCTTTTTTTAATAATAAGGAGTTTCTTTTTGCAGCACGATAGATAATGGGAATCAATTAGTGAAGGATTTAGTTATAGTTAGATTTTCCCCTTCATTTTTTTTTTTTTAATCCCCAGCTTTATTACCTTCATTTTCCCGGCAGTGCGAGCACGGAGCACTGGTGTCTCTAACTCAGAGAGACAAGACTGTCAGGCCTGTTAGTTCAACAAAATGATGACATATTACTCGTCTCGAGGAAGAGACGTTCTTAAATCCCACTGCAAAGAAAACATAAGTGGATAATAGGAAATTTTATAGCCCAAGAAAGCGCTCGCTATAGACTTGCCATTGGTTTGCTCTGTAAGGAAACACAGAGGCAAAAAAACCCTCGGTGAAAGAAATCTGCTTTTTGCTCCTCCTGAGAGGGAAAGGTTTGTACTTTTACCAAAGCCCAGCATATCAAAAGCATCGGGGAGACGATGCAGAAATATGCTGCGGATGCTGGGCCAGATCCTGAGCTGGAGCAAATCACTCCGGGGAGACCAGGGGACAATGCAGCCTTGCACCAGCTTTGGGACACGGCTCCTCTTTCCAGCAGGAAAAGATCTGACAAATGTTTGGGGTTTGTTTTTTTATTTCTGATCTCAAAGCTGGGTTGGGTTTGGTTTTGTTTTATTTTTCAAGATTTTATTTTTATCCTCTCATCAGCAAATTCTGCCCTCGCTGTGATTTCTGCAAGTAAGATTTAATTATAGGTCAAAAAGCTACTGTGGAAGCGCTTCCATTTCAAACAGATGAATTTATTTGCTGTATCTTAGTTTGCTAAATAATTGCATGGTTTTAAATGAAGTTGCTGCATTCTGATCCCTGTATTAG